ATCATGAGTTAACTTGATTGAAGCGACACCCTCATTTTGTAACTTCAGAAACGGTGGGCACGCGTGGTGATAAAGTTGCTCTGGTGAGAAGTTTGTGCGTATTTGCTAATGGTGCTTGTCTAGTTGATAGTTCTTTTGTGAAGGAGCACCTTGAGTGCAATACTTAATAAATAAATAAATAAATAAATATGACAGTATCATATTGACCGTATTATTCGTTTTCTACCACTTTCTGTGGCATGCGCCCTTCAACAAGAAGGCAGAGAACGGCTTTGATGGGTTAACACACTCATACTGCCTGACACGCCGAATCGTCCGCAGCGAACTAGAGTGTACACTCAAGTGCAGCGTGCGTCCTTGGCACTAAAGAGCCTCCAGCTGTCGAAAGCGTAGCCTTTTCCCATTCGAAGATCAGCGCGGATGGCGTGTCCAGGATGCAAGGCGCAGCGCTAAATCCTCCTGCTCCGCCAATGCACGACTTGCGGCGCAGACATCCTGAAATCGCCGACTACAATAGCGTTCATACTGACCGCATCGCGCGGCCGCGTTTGGCCGCATGAGCACTTGCGCTTGCCCTTGGCCGCTTTATTGAAAAATTAGAAACGCAAACTCCCGATCGCGGTACAATCACTTGAGGATGTATCGCTCATTGCTGCAAAGTCCTAATCGAAAGGGATGACGAAGCTCGCAGAGTCAAAATCAACCTGATTGCTGACTCTTCCAATGTGGTTTCGTCAACCATCAAGGAATCGCCAGGCTTGTCGCACGAGCTTGGCGCTCCTCTGCTGACATGGCCCGGCTTCGCCGGGCCATGCGGATTTGCCGCGTGCTAAGTTAAGGATCGTTGACCAACCACACTGTTCAAAGGAATCTTCTGCATCAGCCAAGAACTGAAAAGCAGCGCTTGTTCCGTCAAGGCGCAGAAGCAGCAGCAGCGCCCCCCCCCCCCGCATCACAGAAGGAGGAAAGCCGGCCCTTAGCCAGCGATCCGACTGGTACGTTCATAACCTACACGGAAAATAGTGCAGCCTGTTTGGACAGCCACTGAAGCAGCCTATAATTTATGCAATCTGTCTTCCTAAAGCGTCTTGCTTTGGAATGCACTACCGCATTCAGCAGTGGAACCCTTTAAATGGCCCTCACTGAAGTTGCTGATGGAAGATAATTGTGGTAAGAGTGATAAAGTCAGTTGCTGCTGTTCATAACATCTCTGTAAACAAACCACATGCATTTGGAATAGAGCTGGCTTAGCGGTCGTACACGATGTCGTTACTAATAAGCAGTGAGGAATGAGTTCTGTTGGAATCACTGAGATCGTTATACTTGAGTCATATCGATCGCATTGTTGTTGTGAGCGGTGAAGCGGATTTTCCCATGCTACCTTGTCAATTTTAACTCCTATCACTTCCGTACCCGCAATAACACTCCGTCCCGCTATCACTAATCATATTCTCCCTGTATCGCCTCTCGGATCAGAGGTCCCACTGTTGCTGTAACCTGCGTTACGAATCTGATGACCCTCCCCTTCCGAGGCCGCTTACCGTATCTTATCAACTGTTATCACTTTCTGTCGCCCGCCAATAATGTTCCCGTCCCACACCCTATATCACCTCACGGATCTGAGTTCCCACTGTTGCTGTAACCTGCGCCACGAATTTGATGACCTCTCTTCCGAGGTCCCTTATCGGATCTTATCAACTGTTATCAGCTTCTGCCAGCCCCACCCTACGGCATATCAGTACTTGAAATCATGGTCCCGCCGTTGCTGCAACTTGTCACGAATTCGGTCACCCTCCCCTTTTAAGGCCCCTTATCGAATCTTATCAAGTGTTATCACCTCCTGTCACCCACAAAAAAGTGTTCCCGTCCTGCCATGTATATCACTCCTTGAATCACGGTCCCGCAGCTGCTGCAACTTGCGCTAGATGTTGGTCACCCCCCCCCCTTCTAAGGCCCCTTATCGAATCTTATCAAGTGTTATCACCTCCTGTCACGCACCTAAAGTGTTCCCGTCCTGCCATGTATATCACTTCTTGGAATCACGGTCCTGCAGCTGCTGCAAATTGCGCTACGATTTCGGTCACCCTCCCCTTCTAAGGCCCCTTATCGAATCTTATCAAGTGTTATCACCTCCTGTCACGCACCTAAAGTGTTCCCGTCCTGCCATGTATATCACTTCTTGAAATCACGGTCCTGCAGCTGCTGCAACTTGCGCTACGAATTCAGTCACCCTCCCCTTCTACGGCCCCTTATCGTATCTTATCAAGTGTTATCACCTCCTGACACCCACCAAAAGTGTTCCCGTCCTGCCATGTATATCACTTCTTGGAACTGTCATCCTATCTTTTCTGCGACGCTCGCTATGAATTTCGTGACACACACACACACACACACACACACACACACACACACACACACACACACACACATAAGCGGCATTATATATAGTCGTCATCTTCGTCATCTTCGATTCGGACTTTTCAGCGTGTGCAACACCTCAAATATTATCCGCATCAGGCGTTTTAATTGTATTCGAAAGCGCAATTACAAGACTTAGAGTGCGCGCGCCGCGCAGACGACGTCAGTAGAAAAGGCATCGGGGTATTGTAGCTGCGTTCAGTATGTCTGCGCAGAAAGTTAGGCGAAGCATGAAGGAATTCTATTCCACCACCCTAGACCCACTTCCTTGTGCATCTTCGGACGGGCAACTGCTACGCTTCGACAGCTGGGGGGGGCTCATTAGAACGCATTTTGCAATTAAGCCTACAGTTTCTTGAGTGAGCAAAAGATACACAGTAATACTCAATGGGGGGGGGGGGCTGGGGGAAGGGAGGAAGGAGAGAATGAGCGAGAAAAATCAACTATCAAAATAAATTTTAGCCAGCCCAATAGACTTCACCCGGCCCAAACTTGTCATTTCGCGCGCGCACGGATATGAACACAAACACCAGGGCTTTTTTTTTTAAAAACCGCTGAATCCCGTCATCAGAGTTACTTACGCCCGTACGCTGCGCACGCTCACTGCCCTTTGCTAATGGAAATCTGATAAGTGTTTGAGAAAAATTCTTCGAGTCACCTCATCTGATACATCTGTTAAATGCGGAGATAAGACCAGGATTGAATCATGGCAACTCGTCATTGCCGTTTGTCTTGAATTGGTTGGCAGCATGTGCTTTATGAATCCCCATGTGAGGCTATGCCGTTTGGGGACTCCAGAAAATTTCGGCTCCAGTAATTTCAAGGTTGCCTTAAAACCACCGGAAATCCATAAAAACCTTGTATATATTGGGGTAATTCAACATCCGGTGATCACAAGTATGACACTCATTCTTGGCGCTGGCGCTAAGAGAGGACTACGATTACCTCCTGGGCTCAGCCTTAGCAGAGCGCGGGTGACCGTAGTGCCATCCATTAGCGCCAGCGCCAAAAGTGAATGTCATATTCGTGATCAGGAAGTTGAACTCCCCCTATATACAAGTTTTTAGCGATTTTGGTGATAATTGCCACTTTTAAAATGGGCTCGGAGCCGAAATTTCTGGACGGCATTAGCCCCCATTTAAGGGCTATTGCCGTTTGGACAAGCTGACTTTAGGCTGCGAGCTTATTTTTGAAGTACTTAAAAAAATCCCACCCAAAAAGAAAAAAAATTCCCCCCGCGTGAACACTTCTATATTAAAGCCCAACATCTAAAATTTCTGAGCTGCGACCGCGACAGTTGTTACGGGTATTACATTACTGGTAATGTTACGGGAAGTGCTTAATTATGAACCAGTAGCCTATAAATAGCTCCCCAACAAGAAAAAAAAAAAAAACCCTTCGGGAACCTCCTGGACAGAGACTCCCTCTGGTTGCCTTGGACAAGTTTGTCGGACGAGAGCAGGCCCCATCAGCGCTTCGACATGCAACCAAGTCCCGGCAAGAGCACAGAATCACCATACGACGCAATTCCGCTTGCAAGCCCCTGTTTTGCAGAGAGTAAGTAATCGCGGTGACAATGGTTGCGATAATCACGCCTCTCTAGCTTCTTTAACTTGTCCATTTCGACTGACAATATAGGTACATTCTTGCCAATGCGGAGAATACGCCAAATGCACGGAAGCATACCGCAGGCCACTTGATCGCAAAAACTCCCTTTAAGTGCCGCTAGTGGGCGCAAGGCAAGCAATTCGTTTATGATGCGCAACATCCTCCCGTCTTATTCCAGGAATCATTCCGCTTGGTTTATTAGGCGGGGCTAGAGTGCGTCGGTAGCGATAAAAGAAGGTAACAGTATGCTTCCCCCTCCGATCCCACCTCATCGACTTTACTCTATCCCGCAGCAGAACCGTCTGTCTTCGAACTGGAGCTGTGAAACTCTTACTTACCTACACTGAAGATCACAAAGGCAATACTAGCCACGGCGAGCATCACCAGAAGTTTGAAGAGCTGCCGCAGCCATGGTAACGAGAACATATCCCGAGTAATACCAGCCAAACTGGATTTGCTCCTAGCGCTACATGGCCCGACGTATGAGAGATGTAGAGTCGTCATAATTCTGCGCAAGAAAATGTATACAATTCGACAGCGACACAAGGTAGCGACACAGAAGGCCATCAGTCATCTACTTGAAAACACAACGTGTAGTGTAGTTCTTGCGGACGGTTGGGTGTGTTAGGCGGAATGATTTTGGCGAGGTGCCAAACTCGTTCTCCACCTTGTTAAAGCAAGCAAATGATATGATACGCCAAACACTTTTCTAGCGTATTTTCGCCAGAAAATGATGTTGATACCACGTATTTACATGGACGCCCCTATCTTAGGAAACACTGAGGAACCTCACTGTGGATCCAAATGATGTATTTAAATATTTGAAGACACTAAAACCATCGATGTCTGCCCCATATGATGGTATCCCCCAAGTACTGTTGAAGCGTTGCGCTGCAAGCCTCTGTAAACCACTTACCATGATATTCAACATTTCACTACTTCTTGCATCAGTACCTTACCTGTGGAAAGAGGCTTTGGTTACTGCTATTCCAAAAGTTTCTAATACACGTTTAGTTTCTAATTTTAGGCCCATCAGCATAACTTCTTCTGCTGGCAAAATACTAGAGAAAATCCTGAGAGATAAACTTGTGGGATGGCTTGTCGGATGGCTTACTAAGCATCACCTGATCCCTAATGAACAACACGGCTTTTCGAAAGGTGCATCTACCACTACACAACTTCTTGATAGCACCTTCGACTGGTCTTCTGCTTTGAACATGAAACAATCTATTGATGTAATATACTTTGACCTCTCAAAGGCATCTCATACTCAAATGTAGAATGATTGGTCTCGATGGAAACCTATTGAACTGGCTAGTTTCATATCTCTCAAAGCGTCACATGTGGGTGAAGGTTGGTAACTCCTTCTCAGAACGTTACCCATGTCCCAGCGGAGTTCCCCAAGGAGGGGTACTTTCCCCGATTTTGTTTCTTATCTACTGCATTGATCTCCCAACTGTATTGAAAACCCACCATTCAGTTAAGATACAGATTTATGCAGATGACATAAAAATCTATGGAACTTATAATCAAGAAAACTATGGCGAGGTGTACAATGCCCTTTCTGAGTCCATTGAAAAATTGATGGAATGGTCCCGTAACTGGAATCTACCCATAAACTTAACAAAGTCCTTCGTATTCCATATTGGACCTGGCCCCTGCTCCCGATATCGATATGAAGACATTACTCTGCAGAGTCGAAATTTTGTGAAAGATTTGGGTGTCTCTTACCTATCTAATATTGACTTTTCCAATCATATAAATGAAATCGTCCGTAAAGCTCTAAACTCCGTCTACTTCATCAAGCAGAAGAAGACGCGACGGAGTGCTCCAACTACCGCGGCATCAAGTTGACTCCCCATACCATGAAGCTGTACGAGCGCCTGGTCAACACTAGGCTGAGGGAGCTTGTCCCTATCTCGCAGGAACAGTTCGGCCTCATGCCCGAGAGGTCCACCACCGATGCCATCTTCATCGCCAAACAGCTGATGGAGAAGTACCGAGAGAAGCAGAGACACTGCTACTTAGCCTTCCTAGACCTTGAGAAGGCAATCGACCGCCTGTCGCGGCCTGTTCTTTGGAGAGCGCTTAAAGAACGTGAGGTTCCGTAGCACCTCGTCTCCATAGGTGAAGGACATGTACGATGGGGCTAAAGCAGCTGTACCCGCACGGCTTGACGAAGGAGATTGACATCACGGTTGGGGTACACCAAGGATCAGCCCTCAGCCCGTTCCTCTTCCTCCTGACACTAGATGTCATGGCCAAAGAACTCATGGAGGGACCACTGAAAACCATCCTCTACGCTGAGGCCAAAGAACATATGGAGGGACCACTGAAAACCATCCTCTACGCTGAGGCCAAAGAACTCATGGAGGGACCACTGAAAACCATCCTCTACGCTGAGACATCGCCCTGATAGCGGACAGCAGGAAAGAACTCCAGGACAAGGTGCAGCGGTGGCAGGATGTGCTCGCCTAGAATGGACTCCAGTTGAATGTGAAGAAGACCAGAATTCTGAGCTCTGAAGAGCGTACCGGACCCATCGTAGACTGCCATGGCGAGAGCATCGAAAGGGTCGAGGACTTCCAGTACCTGAGGAGCGACCTAGCAGCCGATGCAGCGTGTACCTAGGGCGTGTGGAAGGTCCGCAAATCAACGTGCCTGATCGAAATGGAGGGAGTCCTCTGGCATCCTGTGCGACCGGCGGTGCTCGAGAACGCTCAAGGGCAAGGTGTACCGGGCGGTGGTAAGGCCTACAATGCTCTACGGCAGTGAGTGCTGGCCTATCTGCAAGAACCATGAAAGGCAGCTCCACTCAGCTGAAATGAGGATGCTGAGATGGGCCTGCGGCTGGACACGACTCGACAGAGTCAGAAACGACGTCAGACAGAAGTCAGGAACGAGACGTCAGGGCAGTCACACAGACGGCTACGATACAGCTGAAGGCACGAGAGCAACGCCTGCGATGGTTTGGGCACGTGCTGAGAGAGCATGAGGACCACTCAATAAGGAAGGCATTGGAATACGGAGCAGAGGGCAAGCGACCACGAGGAGCCCTAAAAAATAGATGGAGGGACGTCATGGGTGAAAGCCAGGGCAGAACATACAGTGGATCGGAACGAGTGGCGAAGTCTATCACGAACAGCGGACCCTGCGACGGCGCGGGACTAACGCTAGGGAGAATAAGAAGAAGAAGATATGCATGCAGCATCACGCCGCTTCATACCAATCCCTTCTCTTCATAATTTGCTTAGCAGATGAATGAATACGAGCGTCAGGAACGGTCGTTCAGTTCCTGGGGCGGCGGGCGGGCGGGCGTTGGGACGTGTAAAACGTTGGTGGCGTGATTAGTGGCCTAAGGCGCATCTTCCTCGGGGGAACCGCTATGCAGCGCCTGCCCATGGTCGCAGATCTATCCTGCCAGGAGTATTGATCCTAGCCGTGCTAGGGAATTTATCTTGCCAACTGCCTTTAACCTACGCAAAGCACCAGACACGTAAGATGTGCCTCACTCCCCCTCAGCCTATGCTCCCATTACTTCTAGGCCGTTGTGCTTTTCGCCTCGGTCCGCTCTTTGAAATCGAGGAGCAAGGGCAGTCCATCACAGAGACTCAGGCAAATGTACAGTCGTCTCTTTTAGAGAGAAATCCGCCGCGACGTGACAGACAGACAGACGCACACACAAACACACACACACACACACACTTACAGACATACTTAGCGGATTATATATAGTAGGATATCCGTTTTCATCTGTCCTTCTTGCCAGACTCAGCACTCAGAGCTGGGAGGGGGGGGTCGTACCGAAACCTCGTTCGTAGGGGGGGGGGTCGTACTAACACCACCATTTCACACATCACGATGCTGTACCCTGATTATACATAACCTTCCCGTCGGAGAATTTGGGGCCCATAGCCTTCTTGTATATTTCAAGGTATATTTCAGCTGCGTTCATACTTTGCGGCAGCGTACCCCAGCGTACGCTAGCGTTTCCAGCGTTCGCCAGCGGCAGTGGCAAGAAAGGATAGATATCGATCTAGCGTCACCAGCGTGCGCTAGCGTAACGCTAGGTACGTTGTCGTGCGCTAGCGTAGCGAGGGCAAGGAAAGCATGGGTATCGATCCAGCCTTTTCAGCGTTTCGCTAGCATTTGCAGCGGCGGGCAGTAAACTATGGGAGAGTAGGAGAGTAGAAACACATCGATTATGCGTTGTAAAATTGCGGCGTGTGGAGCCGCATCACATTAGTGGGCAAGACCGTACTAGACACTAGATCGATACCTATGCTTTGCTTGCCCTCGCTACGCTAGCGTAGGCCAGCGTAACGCTAGAATATTCTAGCGTTACGCTGGCGTACGCTAGAATACTCTAGCGTTACGCTAGCGCATGCTGGTGACGCTAGATCGATATCTATCCTTTCTTGCCACTGCCGCTGGCGAACGCTAGAAACGCTGGCCTACGCTGTCGCAAAGTATAAACGCAACCTAAGAGTAACGAGTGCGAAAGAAGTACCTTGAATGTTAGATTACGATAGCTATCGTTAAAGTCGAACTGCAGAACGTCGTCGTAGAGAGCGCTCTCCTCCTCGATAATCCTCTGATCGATTTGGTAAGCTTGGCCTACCCACAGAAAATAGAATAGTGTAGTTGAACTGAAAGTATACTCGTCTGAAGTACCACTTCTCTTACTGAAGAATAAGCAAGACAATTACCTGGCTTTTCAATTGCCCGGCGCCGTACGTATTTCGCCAGTTAGTTCTCGATAGAGCATCTTCCGCCCGCACATGAACAACCACAACGAAGTCAACCTCTGCACAAATTTGAACCCTCGGCGCGATAGTACACTTGATTGGCGACAGTCGCTGAAACTCTTGACTATTTTGAGAGATTTCCATGCTGAAAAGATTCGGAAATGAGCATTCGGGCTCAAACTGAAGCAGGAGGAATCTCAAAAGACAGTCTGAGTGAGACCCTTTGTTCCGCTGTCGCTTTGAAAGAAATATTTGATTGAGTACACGATGGTGGAAAAGTGGGCACGTGAATGAGAGACCAGATGACGAAGGGCGAGATACCTACGATCGAGTAATGCACGTCCGTCACACGGTACTTCCCTTGAAGACACGCTCCGCAGAAACTGAGGCAATAACTTCCAAATGTGTCAGATGATCCGGTAGCCGGGAAAATGGCACGCAAAGCATTAACTTTGATCTCAGCCCTTACCGGCCTACATTGCCCGTGTCGCCGCAATATGGCCGTTGTGCTATATCACCCATCCATTTCTGGTTTCTCTCCGCGCTTTACAGTGTATAGCCAGTTTCTCCGCATCACTGTTGACCTTGACCATCTTCCTTTCGTCCAGTGATCGTGATCGAATGCATCAAAGAGAGCCGTATTGAGGGCGGCTTTCTATGCTTTTTTCTCACTTCTCAGGAACCTAGATCACTACACTCCTGTTTTTGAACACGTTACCTACGATGTGCAGTCGCAGGGGAGTGCCTCTGAGCGTCTCTCGTCTGAAGGGAGCGTGAAGGACGATGAAAAAAATTTCTCAATATCCTAGTTAGCCATTTCTGGAATGCGAGTGTGCCACAGTGCTTTGAGGCGCTGACTTGGCTACCTCACATACGCACGTAACAATATGATTACAAAGAGTGTTCTCGAGACTCGATAAAGCACTAGATTTGCGGGCTTTCGTGTATTGTCCGTTGAGATATGGAGTGATTCCCTCTCTTTTTCGGGTTGCTTGAAGGTAAGAGTAAAACCCACAGAATCTATGAAAGGCTGTTTCATGTACAACTGCCTCATCAGCACGTTCGTCCTCTCCACCGCAAGATGTCGAGAAAACCGCTCATCACGTGGGTGGTTGATATTCTGCTCAAAAAGCTTAGTGAACGGTAGCGATATTACTCCTGTAAAAGTAGTCAGAATTAAGTCACTGAAGCTCGAACATGATTGCAAAAAGACGAGCTCATAAGGCAGTTGGCACGATAAATCCCTGAAGACGAGTATGGTCAGTACGCGTGCCAGGACGGAATTCTGCGCCCCTTAGCAGGCTCTGCGTAGCGCCTTTCCCAAGGGGGGTAAGGTCCTATCAAGCCACAACACAGCGATCTAAACGCCCGCCACGTCCGCCGCCCACAAGTGGACGACTGGTGCTCGTACTTGCTTCATTTGCTAAGTAAAATATGAAGCGAAGGCATTGGTATGAAGCGGCTGCGGTGCTGCATGGATATATGAGTACATACATGCACCTGTACCTACCGTAGCGGTTATTGACAATATG